ATATATATATATATATATAATACATATATGTGCTGTTATACATTTACCTAAGGATGTCATCTGATATTTCAAATATTAATACGTATTAATGTCAGTTTAAGAAGTGAGTCAGTTAAAATTATTAAAAAAACTATAATTCAGAAAGTTTTCACATTAACTTTTTTTTAATATAAAAATTCTGAATATACGTATATATCATTATTATAATTATTGTAAAAATGTTTTTCCATTACGATATAAATAGAATACTTAAAAAATAAAAAAAAATTTAAGACGAATGATCGGAACACGTATGAAAATTATTGTTAGTCGTAAAACCACCTCCAATAATTAAATATAGTTGATTTAATGAAATCATTATGTACTTGGCACACGATTATTTTTTATATCTGAATTACAATATTCTTTCATTAGACTATTGATTAAAAAATAGGTTTCACGACTAAACAACAATAGTGCATATTTACACAGATTATATTAGAAAACTATATAACAATTATACCGTATGTAACAATTATAAATTATAATTATACAATAATAATGATTATTATTATGTTACAACAATATATTATTAATATATTATATAATAATATCTAAAACTTGTTATATATAATTCTATATACATACATACAATATATAATTCTATATACATACATACATACAATATTTTTCAAATTCACAATACATATCACATTATATCTTTATGTATGCTATATTAAGTTTCCATGTTTTTATATATACTATATATATAAAGCTAAATTTATATATATGTATATATATAATTAGCTAAATTTTAACAAAATTTTCATATGGATTTCACCAAACATCTTTATTAATCATTAATAGATCAAAAAATCTTTTTTTATTATTATCAAATCGGAAAACAAACTAATTCTTTATTATAAATACGATATGATTCATTAATACAAATCATTATTTTCAATAGAATAGGCAAATATTTAACTGTTAACAATCACGAACTGTTTAATATAATAAAAAAATTAATTGCAGTAAATACATCTGCGAAATCATTATGATTATTTATGTAAGTATAAAAATCACAAATGAGAAACTTAAGCCAAACTTCCTATTTTTTACAAAGCAATTTTAAAATTCAATTTTCCATTTGATTTCAAGATTAAATATGTATTTTTCTCATTTCCTTAAATATTTAGAAAATACTACTAACACTATACACTTAATTAATAATTAAATTAAGTTAACATAACACAACTATGCAAATTAATGTTATTCGTTTCTTACAAAACAGGTACAATCATCAATTTTCGAAAGACTTATATGCATGTAGATACGAATCTATTAGGTTATTTCTTTTTCCTTTTTTTTCATTAAAGGTATATAAATTATTTCATGTTAAAATATTGTTTTCTTTTAACCAATATGTGATATAAAGATCAGAAAATTAACAAAGACGAACTTATCATGCCTTTTCCATGTAGTCTTCATTCGCGAATCGCAGCAGTCGTTGACAGTATACTGGAGGGAATGTTTAAGAAAATGCGGTTAATATTTGGTGGTGAAGCGCATAGTAGAGTATTGGTCCTATCACTATCCGATGCACGATCAGTTTTCGAAGGGGGAGGGGAAAACATGGTCGGCCATTTTGATGGTGACGCGCAGCGCGGAGGTCGTGGGCTCCACCAGTGACGAAGCCACTGGAGTTTTGACGTGGCTGCTACGTACCTGCCCGTTTGCCCACTCCGATTGCAGCAAAGTTGGTGACGAGAAATACGTAACTGGTAAGTACCCAGCTGGAGAATAATAACAACCGGGCATGGACCACTGCGCTTACGATACGTCGAAAATGTTGCCGAAAACACTAGCATTTGATTCTTCATGATCCCAGTACAATCAGTTTTACGTCTGCTATGGAATATGCCGTAAAATATGGCGCCTTAAGGAAGATGTATGAATTTCTTGAAAAGGGCAATGGGGGTTACGTGACGATTTTGACATCTCTTTTCACTGATAACTGACACATCGTGATACCAATCGGTACAACCCTAGCCACGTTTCACCGTGTTTTTTTCATTAATTTGCTGGCCTTTTCGATCATCCACGAATACATCTTTTTAAGTGTTTATTGTTCTCGTATTATTTTTAGATCTGCTTATGTAAATGACGCAGTAACACCGCCGATTGCTGACTGGCGGGAAATTTAAAACTTTTACGTCTTATTGGATAGAATTCGATTTCGAATTGAATACAGATTTTCAAATTCCAATCGTTCTGACGATGTTTATGTTTAGTCCGGATCTCAAGTATGCATTTTTAAATACTTAAAAAAAAACACTTTTTTTAAAATAAAAAGTTGTATACATTTTTTGCGTAATTTTACTTCTATTGAAACATTTAAAAATATCACCAAAGGGATCAAATGTAATTTAATAAGATGAATATTTATTTCTAATAATAGAATTTGTTTGAAATTTAAATTTTTTTACCATACAACAATTATATATCAAAAGGTTCAATTACAAATGATAAAAATTTGAAAAAAAAAGATTTAATTATGGAATACATATAAATACAATTATGAAGCTATACATATAATTATAAAAATATTTTATCTTTTATCTTAGGGTTTGAAGTTCCCAGGCTATGGAAAGTATGGTTGAGGAAAATGGATCAGCTGTTGACCCATTGTCTGCGGGTTCTCAAAGTGGTGATGCAGCACCAGCGATAGCTACATCGGTACAATCTCTCA